GGATTATAGAAGAAACAACTACATTTTCTGGGGTATCGGTGAGTGATATGTACACTCCTGTGAAAACCTTAATGAAGCTTTGAGTCAACAAATAATAATTTTTAATAAAAAGTAAGTTACTCAGGTTTATTTGTCAAACCTGTATTTGATTTAGTTGATTTTACTAAATCATCCAGTATTTATATATACACATTTGTGAGAACGATGCAAGGAATACATAGCCCAGATAAACTGTAGTCCGAGAGAGAGAGTGTGTGTGTGTGTTTGTGCTGATCGGGGCTGTTTGCTGAATCGTCTTGGCTCTCTCCCCATGCACCCGCACACAGTGCTAACTGGCATCCAGGCGAACACACAGGGAAACGTGTGCCAACACAGCTGCCTATTGAGAGGCAGCATTACAGACACAATGTGAGCGACAGACTTGCTGTATCAACAGCTCCCCCTTTTCTGCTGTTGTGACCAGAAAAAAAAACATAAATACCACCCCGTTCCCCGCCCTCTAACGGCTCAACCCCACCAAACACAAAGTGGCCACTTCCTAGCAGGTCTACCCAGGTAAAAGTCTTATCCTGGACACAGGAATCAGTAGCAGTGGTGTGTTTGTTTCTCTGCAGTGGTGCTTCATCAGTGAAAACGCTGACTTCCATGCACTGTAAAGTAACCAGATGGAGTTCTTAGACATATACTTGACTGAATAATTCTGTATTTTTTTATCATTTGTATGAGTTACATATTTATTTGATAGTATATAAACCAAATATCATAATTGCTACTTTAGGCCAGAATGAATACAATCCTACTTGTGAATTGTAAACCACACATATCCCCATGTGCATATCTGTACCCATGTGTACATGCACAATGGATAGTGTCTTGTCTGTGTTGTGTTGCTGCCAAAAAGTGGAGCAGAGGACCAGGAGGATGTCAGAGCAGCAGAGTGCCCCGGAACAGCTGGATGCTGGGAAGAGCCAGGGTAGAGCCGGAGCCATGTATAAGGTACTGGAACAACCTTCAGTCCAGAGATGAAAACCTGGTTTGATCAGGCAAGGATTGTTTATTAGAACATATTTATTCAGCTCTTTTAATGTGTTACATTTTTTTGCACACACTGTGTTTCCTCTGGGGGCAGTAACCACAGATGTGGTTACTGACTATTTCTGTAGCCTATTTCTGATTGCTCCTTCCCCTGCTTTTTTATTTTCCTTTTGACCTTGTATGTATCATATCACCATATGCGTTCTTAGTAGACAATATACAGTAGTCTGCCATTTCATGAAGGTCTTAATCTCAAACATTCCTAGTGGGAACTGAACTGAACCCAGCTGTGTTGGTGACATGCAGGTCTCTCTTTGCAATCCAGGTGTTGCTGTTTGAGTTCGAGAACTTCCAGGGCTGCAAGGTGATGTTTTCTGTACAGTGTAAAGATGTGACAGAGAAAGAACTAGTGAAGGTTGGATCTGTGATAGTGGAGTCAGGACCGTAAGTGGCATTCAGTTCACTCTCTTAGACTGTTGGTGAAGTCATTTAGAAAACATAAGAGTAACTAGTTGGCTACATGATTTTAAAGATTGAAATAGTTTTTCTTTCTTTCTCACATCACCATCTGTGTTGTCCTTTTTCCTTTAAGATGGGTGGGTTATGATCGACGTGGGTTCAAAGGGGAGCAGTTTATTCTGGAGAAGGGTGAGTATCCACGCTGGGACACCTGGACCAACAGTCAGAAGAGCTCCTCCTTCATGTCTCTAAGGCCACTCAAAGTGGTGAGCGACTGATCTCAATACAAAGCTAACTCTACAAATCTTACAGTTCTCTCCAGACACAAAAAGATGTGTAG